TTCATATGGACATTCATATGGACATTCATAAGGACATTCATAAGGACATTCCTGCAGACTTGCTTATGGACTTTCTTGAAACTGGATTGAGACTGACGGGTTTTTGGGGTTTGGGGTTGAGAGGGTCAAAGGGGTTTTGTATTTAAAATATTTAAATATTGGTTGTTTGTTTGTAACTTTTATTTAACCAGGATTAAAAAAAAACCTCACTGAGATAAAATCTCTTTTATAAGAGTGACCTGGCCGAGAAGACAGGAAAAAAAACAAAACAGAAGAATAATTAAAGACACGGCAACAGTTAACACAAAACAAAACTCCCTCCCTGTGCCCAGAGAGGGGAAGATAAGTGAAAAGAAAGAAAGAAATCGAGCAGAAATAGAAAAACTACGTACGTAGTAATATACAATCAGACGTGGCAGAAGCAACGTCCAGTATGGCTATACTCAAAGTTATTTAAAGTGCCATAAATTCAGCCAGTGAAGGAAGTAAGTTTTAAATGTTCCTGTAAGCTGTTCCACGTTGTTGAGGCATTAAAATGAAAACGTTTTTTTCCCCACGGCGAACAACAAGCTACGTCCTCTGAGCGAAGACTGGAATGTTCAGATTGGATTGGATGACAAATAAGTAGGTAACAGTGTGCTGAACTGATGCATTAAAGGCATCTTAAAAGTAAAAAAGTCTCTGTTTCTTTCTGTCATTTTCTCTCTCTCTCTCTCTCTCTCTCTCTCTCTCTCTCTTCATTCTGATATTTATTCGTCTCCTGTACCGCAGAAGGGACGCCCCCGCTGATCCTCATCCACAGCTGACAGAAATGGAACGGTCTTGTTAAATTCATCACCTCGGCATCGCTGTGTCTCTCTTTCTCTCTCTCGTCTGCTATGTCCAAATAAAAGAAGAAGAAGAAGAAGAAAAAACACCCTCAGTGCCAGCAGATGACACTTCACACAAAAGCAAGTGAAATGTAGAAAAGGAGAAAGCGAGAGAGCGAGGGAACGCTGGCGGAGGGCGGCGTGTTCTAAACGTGAACATACAATAGATTATTGTAAAAGTGTGAAACTGAACACGATCCAAACAGTTAGGCGTAAATTAGATGCAAATATGTAAATTACTCGGAACGACACGCGGAGATGTGGACAATGCTCCGGAGCTATAATTGCTGCATTCAGCACGGGCGGGTGCAAAATTATTGGCACCCTTCATTAACATAAGCAGAACGGACTAGAGTGCACCGACTGATGAATCAAAGGGTTTCAAAATTATTAGCACCCCTAATTTGTATGTTGGTTTGAGGTCACTGTCTACGGTCTGTGACCAAGCTATGGCCAAGTTGTAACCTCCGGACAGAGGCAGCCAGATTTTGAGAATATAAAATATCCTGCAGCCAGTTCCACCAGTTGACCGTGACTTCGATTGTAAGTCCAGCCATAAACCATACATTGACATATCTAGCATGGTGTAGAATTGTGTAGGTGTGTCCTAAATACTAGCACATAACATAATCGTAGCTCAAAAACGTTTTCACCTCGAGTGCCATCACCAGCCAATCAGAAACACATTCCTACTTAAACAGGAAGTACTACATCCATGTGTGAGACATGATTAACATCTGTCTTTCTCAGTGTAGCATTTATTTCAAATGACCTGTCTCACATGATTGTGTTTGTACTTTATGCGTTTGTTCTGCTTGGGCTCTAACGCAACAACAGAATCATTTTAGCAACGGAATATTAATGAAGAGGCTGTAAATTTAATCTGCACTACAATAACAACAGAATAAAGTAAACAGTACAGTGTTTTAATGTTTTGTGATGTACCTTGCTAATAATCTATGCTACTTGGTACAGCTGTTAAAGGTTATAGGTTAAAACTGGACTATGACACAGCTTACGTTCTACTGGTGCAGCGGTTTGTCACGATGAAGACACCAGTCCTCACCAAAGCTCCACAACAGCACAACACAAAAGCTCCATATTTTACAGCGTTTTTGGACACTTTTCATTATATTCTGATTTCTTTTTTCTGCAAAACGCTGATGGTGTTCATGGCCAACATTTTCCGCTGTCATCTTTCCGCAACACGACTCTAACTGTAGCTTCGGTGAGACTTAGTGAAGTTCAGGAGATGTATTTTGTCAATCCTGGGTCAGGACTGATCCCATTGGTGTCCTTCTGTTTGTTTGTTTTTTTTGCAGCATTTATAAGCTGACATAGTTTTTCACTTTATCATGCTGAAACTATGACATGAGAAACGTGACATGAGTCTGTAATCTCCTGTCAAAGACACTAATTTAGAGAAGGCTAATTTGACAGTGAGGCTGGAATAGCGAGCAACGCTTACGTCTCGCTCCGCTAGCGCTCATCACAGCAATGCTGACAGATGAAAATGTAAAACATAACTGCAGAGACAGAAACAGAGATGCAGAACAGGAAGATATTTAGTGTTTTTTTCAAGCAGCTAAATTAGTAAGGTCATTTGGGGCTGAGTGATTGAGCATTGCTTCCCTATTCCAGTCCTTGTCAGTAAGTTAGTAAGCAGAGAACTAAAAGAACAGAAAAAGAGGAGAATCAGACATAAAGAACTGATCAGAACTGCAGTATAAACTAAACGAGTTCTTGTGGTTACACGCTACTGAAAAACCACTGTCTCTGACGCTTCTACTCGAGAAAAACTTTTTAACCTAAATGAGTGATTTTAACCTGAATATGGAGCTCACATTCTACTGACGCAGCTGCATAACCCGAGTCTGAATACGAAGAACTTTTGCTGCATCAGTATTGATGTCATTATAAGTCAATGTTGCCCCTCCCCTCCTCACTGGGGATTGAGGCATTGATATCTGCTCAGCTTTAAATCCTTTCTGTAAGTGTAGCAGAGTGTGGAAGTGACTTCTTCTTTAATATAACCTGAAAAACGGCAGCTGTGGAGGCGTTGGAGTGAATAGGGAATTCAGGAAGGTAAATGCCGGCGTTGTGAGCGGCGTTAAAGAGAGTCGGGCTCTAACAGTAACATCGCGGGAGAAAGTGTCATCTGTTTGAGTTTTAATCCTTCTTCTGTACTTCGGCCAAGGGAACGCGAGATTGGGAAAGAGAGTGAGAGTAAGAAAAGATCAACGCTTAAGCCCTCTCTGAAGGGAGAAGATGTTCCGCCTGCATAATTACAGCCTGTTTTTGGTCGGCCTTGGCTCAGGTTCTCTTCTCCTGCTTTTGTCTTCCTCTTTCCTTGACTTCTCCATGAACCCACTGCGTCTAGCGGGACTTCTGCTCAGCTTTAAAGAGCTGTCTAGAAGATATTTCCTGCATTTCTTAAGCTTTTCTCTTTTCAAGGTTTTTTTTTCTTTGTTTCTGGCTCTTGCTCTCTCCTGGGAGGCTCTAAACTTTATGTCTCAGCACTTTTGGCTGGTTTTCTGTTCTTCATCTCTTCCCTCGTTCTCTCGTGAATGCTGAGGGTCAAACTCCAAGATCTGATCCAAGGTGCAGGGTTTTTCTACACTATTTAGAAAGTGCAGGTGGCTACTTATACTAAAATAGATAACTAGACAGACAGACAGACAGACAGATAGACAGATAGATAGATAGATCTCCCCATCAGGGATAGAAAAATGATATCTAATTATATCCTAATTAAATCCAAAATTATATATTGTGAAATATATTGTGCAGTTCCTAGAGAATGCAGTGTAAGTGTAATTTATTCCACTTCTTTATTTATTTATGCCTCTGCTACATGGTGCAGAGGAGAGCAGCGGAGCAGTGTGTGGAAAAATGAGCTATCACTAATACTGGCTAAAAGCTTCGTATTTTTAATTACTCTGGTTGTGATCAGAGTCTTTCTGCCTTTCTCTCTGTTTCATAGGCAAAAGCCCCAAAAGACTCGAATAAGAGGGCAGCTCATGGCCACGGGTTTGAGTGTAGGTGAAAGGCATGCTGGGATATCCTTGAACGGCTTGCTAAGCAAGCATTAAAAACATTGTTCATTCTCATTCTGTCCTTTCAAGCAGCATCAAAGCCTAAAGAGACACAACAATGAAGCGGACAGGAAGTAAAGACAGCATGACGGAGGAAGGGACAGGAAGTCCTCCGGGATTTTCGCTTTTCACTTCACTTTTCGCCATCAGTTTTTCTCCTCTCTCTCCACTCTCTCAGGTTGTGTGAACTCACAAAGCATCACTTGGAGAACCGGTGGTGGGGTTTGAGGGGACGTCCACAGGGAACAAATCCGTAATCTTTCTTCCCAGCGCTCCAACTGGCATCGTGGCCACTCCAAGCTGAGCTCAAAGCTCGAACTCATCTCCTGTTCCCCAGAGGAGAGGAATGAGTGGGATTATTTATATATTATTATTATTATCGCAAAATGTGAAGCACTTCTGATAGATTACTTTTAATTATTTCCCAAAGTTTTATCAGCACAGAACACAACCACTTTAAACATGAAACCATGGTAGCTGAGATCTGGTCTCTCTGACCACAGAGTAAAGCTCATGCTCCAGGTGGACTGACAGCTCCAGCACGGTGTCACAAGTGCTGCTGTATACATACCATGGAGCTATGAAAACCATGAGAACTGGTTCCACTCAAGCTTTAACCATGGAACCAACTACTCACACTAATCGATTGCGCCGCTGGAGCTACATGCCCAGTAGGATGTGCACTTGCCCTTTCAGCTTGTTTTGGTTCTACTTACCCATCAGGTAAAGGTTCAGGAGTAGCACACACTAACATTTCTAGAAATGGAGCTACAAAACCCACATGATGTCCTTTTGCATTGGTTCTACTCAAGCTTTAACCATGGAAACCATGAAGAGCTGAGTTTGGGTGATCCACTTGGTCATCTAAACCATCAGGTAAGCACATGCTCCAGGTGAAGCTGGAATTCCTACATGATGTGTCATGATTCCCATATGATGTCACTTGCATTGGTTCTACTCAAGCTTTAAAAACAAGGAATCAGCTAGGACAGTTATGAGTGGGCTCCTAACTAAGTCATCTGAGCCGTAAAGCTCATGCTTCAGGTGAAGTTTGAACTCACAACCTGCTCCACAAGTACTACCATATATGTACTGTGCACTAACCAACTGCACCACTGGAGCTACAGCTCAAGTCTGCTGTGCACTTGCCCTTCCAACGTTCATTGGTTCAGCTTCAAGCTTAAAGCATGGGATCCACTGGGACGGCTGAGATGTTACTAGAGCTCTCGGGTAAAACTCATGCTCCAGGTGAGGCTCGAACTCACTGTTGTATGAGCACCACACGCTAACCGATTGCACCACTGGAGCCACAGACAGAGTATCGCCTCATGTCCACTTGCCCTTCAAACTAGAACAACTGACTCAGCTACTTGACCAGAACCACTGCATAAAACTCGTCTGCCAGGTGAAGCTCGAAACTCAACATGGCTTTAAAGATACTGTCACATAACTTCGGCATGTTACCCAATTCCAGCAGTGAAGCTACAAATTATTTTTAAATAGGTGGCTATTATCGTGGTTAAAAATAACGGTTGTAACATATCATAATAAATAAATCAATACTGCTGATGATTACAAGCCTACAAACAATAACGTGCCTGTAGCTTCCTAGAAAAGAAACAAAGGAAAGCTAGAAAGAAAGAGACGGACATGTGCAGAACATCGGAACATGACTATCTCTCCATCATCCCTGATGCTTCCTCCATTAGTGAACCTCGTCATGTTCGTGTGCGGTAATAGCTCTCTCTGCGTGACGTCCCCCTCGACCCCCGCGACCCCTGCGGCCCGTACAGGCAGGAGGCAGGATGAAGTGCGGATACAGAAAGCCTGGGCTAATTGAGAGAAATGAAGAGGACGGATTGTTTTGGCGTCTCACCGGCATCGCAATTAGACCTGTCAATAGCCATTAGCGGCAGCATGGGCTTCGGACAACACGACTGTCACATCCGAATCATTCGTGCTTGTAAATGCTGACAAAATCCACATCCATCCTTCACTGCGATCTCAGCGTACAGATGTTGAGTGA